TATATATTATTATATATATATATATATATATATATATATATATATATATATATATATATATATATATATATATATATATATATATATATATATATATATATATATATATATATATATATATATGTATATATATATAATTTTCATACCACACCTTTTCGCGTTTCCCCCTCTTGGCCTTGTCATCTGAATTGGTTGTTGAACTGATCTCCTTCTCATTGTCACTCGCTGGCTTTCTATGTCTCGACCGCAGAGTCCGCTTCAGCGCATCCACGCGCAGATATTTATCAGCGAATAACATACCTCGTTTACCGCCTATGGAATGGTATCAGTCAGTCATTAGGTATGAAAGTGAGGATATCAGAGTTTGTACCATACAATACGTTTACGGGCCGAGAGGTCGTATATATATGCTCTATTGAATATATATGTACGCCAAACCGTATAGGAGGTCTATTAAATACATGCACTTCACAGCCAACGCCAAGAGTCCATCCCACAGACCGACCACCCCAACATTGTAGACAGACAACACAACCCAACCCAACACAACACAACCCAAGATACATACATACCGCTCCTGTTATGCACCGATCCAGCGGAATTGATCCCATCCGCACGCGACCCATCAATACTCACAGCCTGGTTCGCGACTTCGTTGACATCCGTTGAGTTGTCTACCTCCCCCTTGCGCCCACCTTTCTTCGGTATACCGTTGCCGTTCTTGTTCATGTTCTTGCCACTGTTCTTAGGCCCAACTCTGCTACAGTCGCTATGCCTACCGCTCTGTCTCTCCGTGTCTCCGGTGGTAGTGCATCCGTTCGCCATACTACACTCATCCGTAGAGACGCTATCCCCCACCATGTGTGCACTGGACAGGTTAGTGTCCGCAGACGCACTCCTTACGCCTGCCGTGGGATAGCTCTCCTCCATCTCCCCAGCGGGGTACGGGGTAAACACATGTACCGAACTGATACCCATCCCCGCTACCGTCTGCGAGGCTTTTAAGCTGGCGCTGGTTGAACTAGGTATGCCTGTCTATGTTGGGGTTGGGGCTGGGGCTGGGGCTGGGGCTGGGGTTGTGGTGTGTTCCTGAGTTGTCTCTGCTGGCGGGGGTGGATAGGGTGCGGCACTGCCGCTGTTGCTGCCGTACGGGTTGATAGTGGGATAGGACCCTGTGGGGCAGAGAACGGGATATCGAGACATTTGCATGGAGAGTGAGTGCACGCGTTTACGGGTACTGCATGCCACAGTGAACTTGACAGTACAGATGAGATGGAACGTATACTGACGCAGTGAGCGGGTCGTGGGGCTGATGCAAGGCAGGTGATACTCTACTATACAACAACCCCGCCCAATCCACATATAGCAAATGTGGTCAGCATGCAAGCAATCCCCCAAGTGAAGCGAGACCCGTATGAAATCCATGGCCAGCGGGTGTTTCAGGGTTTAGGATTTAGGGTTTTTCGGATGAGGTGTTGGGTGTGCCTCGAGTGCTGTTGGGTTTCACAAGTGGACTAAGTCTCTGGCGCCGCTGCACAGCACACACAGTGGCTCGTGTTCACGTACGCTCATCTCCCCACCGTTCACACACACACACACACGCACACATGTAGAGACAGGAATGCGCAGAGAAGTATATATCATGATCAGAAGAGAAGGTGAAGCTCTGTGGTCAGACGTGGTTACCTGCCTATGCCGTGCATAGTCGAGGTCATCACAGTCACAGTTCAATTTTAACACAACACAAACGAACTCAACACTCCATAGCCAGAGTGATGCCCCATTGGACTATGTATGTGCATCTCTACTCGTCTGTGAATGTTAAGAGAAGACAAAGGTGAACCAAACACACAGTCTATACTGGAACGGTACAGTAAAATCACAACGCAACACCCACACACACGTATGCATGCACGCAGCTCTCAAGACACGCGCACACTCAGAAGCGGCTGCTTCTGTTCACAGAACTTCATTTTTAATGCTCTAATGCAGTCGCATATAGACACTTGCATATAGGTACTTCCAAACAGCCACTGGCTCTTATATAGTCGCATATAGCTACTTGTATATAGTTGTTTCCATATAGCTACTAGCTCTTATATAGTCGCATATAGTTACTTGTATATAGTTACTTCCATACAGCTACTAGCTCTTCTATAGTCGCATATAGTTCCTTGTATACAGTTACTTCCATACAGCTACTAGCTCTTCTATAGTCGCATAT